CCAACAACAAACAGCACCCTAACTATCCCATTGTTGATTCTAGCTTAAAGTGACCCTATAGTGAACCCACAGGACCAGAAAGAATTGTTCCCTGTATGTATGTAATTTGGAGTCCTGGTATGGTGCTGTGGGTTAATGCATTGGACTGCAAAGTCGTTTTGAACTTCACAATCCATGGTTCAAACTCATCAGCAGTCTTGAAACCCGGTACATGGTCACTATGAGTTGGAGCTGCCCCGACGGCACTTAACAACAACATGTCTTATATGGGACTCCTGGTGAGATGCTGTAGTATCAGCACTAGACTGCCAACCAGAAGGTTGTCCCTTTAAACCCACCAGCTGCCCCTTGGAAACCATATACAGGGTCATTATGAGTCAGAACCAACTCAATGGCATTTCACAACAACAACAAATGTCTTAAATGGAATCCTGGTGTGGCGTTATAGAATAAGCACTGTAGACCACAAAGTCAGTTTGAATAGAAAGGTCAGCGGTTCAAACTCAGCACCTGCTCCTCAGAAACCGCACTGGGTCGCTATGAGTCAGAACCTACTCGTTGGCACATAATAGCAACAAGTACTTTATGTTCTGAATAATAATTGGATACTCTTATTTCTAGAAATACTTGTCGGTGATGGAGTTGCGACAATGTCTAAAGTGCGTAAAATGTGTGGCCTGGGTGAGAAAAGTACCCGCCGGAGTAAGGCATGGGCTGGGGCTCATGTTCATGTGGTAGCAAGATACCATTGTTGTTGTTGTTAAGTGCCATGGAGTCGGTTCCAACCCATAGCAACCCTGTATAGGGTTTCCGAGGAGCAGCTGATAAGCTTGAACCACCGACCTTGCAGTCCAAACGGCTTTGCAGTCTGGCACATTAACCCACAGCACCACACCAGGACTCCATGGAAAGGCATTAAAAATGAGTAAGACCCACTTCCTGTCCTTCAAGACCTCCTCTTGTTGTTACTAAGGACCATCAAGTTGGTTCTGACTCATAGTGAGCCTGTATAGGGTTTCCAAGGAGCGGCTGGTGAGTTTGAACCATAGACTTTACAATTCAAACAGACTTTGTAATCCAGCGCATTAACCCACAATGCTACACCAGGACTCTTCAAGATCTCTGAAGAAAACAAACCAACTCCTGTTAGTAATTACAATGTATTGATGTCAGATGCTGTTGAATTAAAACCTTGCCTGGCACTGTACCCATTTGGACAACCTTTGCTCAGTTTGAGCCCATTGTTGCAGGCACCGGGGTCAGTCCATCATGCTGAAATCTCTTATTTTCACTGACCAAGCCTGGTGTCTTTCTCCAGCATTTGGTCTTTGCTGATGGCCTGTCTACATTAAGCCAGATGGAGTGTCACCGTCCTGGCTTCTGAGGACCGTCCTCAGGCGATTACAGTGCAGCCTGCCAAACACGGTCATAGAAACGCGTACGTGGAGGCTCAGAGAACATATTAGAAGATGGTGGAGTCAGAACAGAAAATGTTCCACTGCAAAGGTGGCATTTGTTGTTGTTGTTAAGTGCCGTCGAGTCGGTTCCGACCCATAGCGACCCTGTACAGGGTTTCCGAGGGTGTAAATCTTTACGGGAGTAGAATGCCTCATCTTTCTCCCGCGGAGCAGCTGGTAGTTTCAAACCGCTGACCTTAAGGTTCGCAGCCTGATTCGTAACCACTGCAAAGGTGGCATGGGATGGGATAAAAAGGGAACATCGAGGCTTAGGTCAGCCTGGAGGGGGAAGACAGAGAGACGTTCTCAACTAGGGATATCTGGGAAAGGTGGTGAAAGACCTGAAGTTTGCTGAGGGCTGTGAAGGAGATGGGCTGGAAAAGGTGCTGACGTTCACTTAGGAAGGTTTGCTCCTGGTCATCCTCACAGGAACCCAGGAGACATGTTTTGAGGGGAAACTGAGGCTCAGATCTGGTGACTGACTCTCAGAAGTACCTTTTGCAACAGTAGAGGAGTTGAGCTCCATCTCTAATTGGCCTGCGCTGTATGGGTCCAGAGCAGAATTCTACTTCCTGGTGCAGCCTGGTACCCCCAGGGCTCTGTTTGGCTTGCTGTGGTCTTTGGACTGAATCCTGGAGGAAGTGATGCAGGGTGAGTTTGATTTGAAGCAGGAGACCTTCTGATTGCCAGCTGTTAGTAAACATTTTCTGTGAGGCCAGCTGCTAACCAGAACGGTGGTGGTTTGAGTCAACTCAGAGACAGTACATTTCTGAGAGAGTCTTATGGGGAATATAGTTCTACTCTGTCCCATGTGGGCTGACTTTGAGTCGGCATCCACTCCATGACAAGTGGCTGAGATGGTGTACGTTTCAGGAACCTCCATCACTAGGTGTGGCGCTATGGGTTAATGCGCCAGACTGCAAGGTCAGTTTGAACCATAAGGTCAGTGGTTCAAGCTCACCCCTATACAGGGTTGCTGTGGGTCGGAACCAACTCGACGGCACTTCACGATAACAATAATATCACTACTTAACCTTACCACCACACGGAAAGCAGCCTTAGGTAATAACATAAAAGAGCGGGCCTGGCTGTTCAATAAAACTTTATTTACAAAAGCAGGCAGCAGATTGGATTTGGGGGCCAAACCCCCCTGGACTGGCTCTGGAAACCTGGCAGCACTGGCTCATGCCCTGTGTTAGCCAATACTGTGCATGAAGGCATCCTTGAAGCTCCCTTCCTTCCTGTCCTGACTTCTTCCTAGCTTTCCTCAGGACTGGGCGCTGCCATCTTTGAGTCTCTTAGCTGCTAATCCTTTGAACTTTCCCTCCCTGTTGGATGGTTACATTGTCATTCAAAAACGTTCTAGTGTTTTCCATCTTTAGAAGAAAAAAAGATGCCTATTTGTTTATATAAACAGCCTCCCCCTATAATCCTATAGGAGTCCTGGTGTGGTGCTGTAGGATAAGCACTGGACCCCAAAGTTGGTTTGAACTGCAAGGTTAGTGGTTCAAACCCACCCACCGACTGCTCCTCTGAAACCCTAAAGAGGGCCCCTGTGAGTCAGAACTGACTTGATGGCACTTAACAACATACTCCAATACCTCAGCTTGCTCCCCAGCAGAGCTGCTTGAAAAACTTGTGTACATACGCTGTCTCGTGCACCTCCTCTCACTATCTCTTCAGCCTGCCTCTGCCCACCTCTCCACCCACTGGACAGTCTCTGTGGAAACCAGGGGACACTCCTCAGTCTCTCAGGACCTTCTCTCCTCGATGCTGGTCCATCTGTCTGGATTTCTTCCCTCTTCTCTGGGCCTTCTTTACCCTCACAGTCATTTTAGACCTCTCCTAACGGAAGAGCCCTGGTGGTGCGGCAATTAAGCACTCATCTGCAAACCGAAAAATTGGTGGTTCAGACCCACCCAGTGGATCTGTGGGAGAAAGACTTGGCGACCTGCTGGTGGAAAGATGACAGCCATTGACAATCGTGTGAGACGGCCCTCCTCTGTCACATGGGGCCTCCCGCAACAACACCCACCACATCTGCTGTCGTTGTTAGATGTCAGTGAGTCGGATCCAGTTCATAGCAACCCCAGGCATACAGCAGAACCAAACACTGCCCAGTCCTGCGCCTTGTATTTGAGATCACTGTCAGTCCATGCTACTCAGGGGCTTTCCCTTTTAACTGACCCTCAACTTCAGCAAGCACGCCTGTCCTCCAGGGACTGGTCCCTCCCATAACATGTCCAGAGTACGCGAGAAATCTTATTATTACCCTTTTTTCAAAGAAGCATTTTGGCTGTACTTCTTTGACGATATTGTAGAGATGTATTAGTTCTTCTGACAGTCCATGATACTTTCAATATACTTCCCCCACACCCTAATAGTGCTTCTTCTGACTAGCCTGCATTTTTTGCCCCCTTCGTCGGTATGAGTTCCCAAATTTACACTCCCTCCTCCACTTCTCCTCTGAGGTTCAGACTTGGGTCTTTGTGCTGCTATGACAGGTCGCCTGGGCATGTTCTCATATGCATGTGAAGCTGGGCAGTGAATAAGAAAGACCGTAAGAGAATTGATACTTTTGAGTTATGGTGTTGGAGGAGACTATTGAAAGTGCCATGGACTGCCAAAAGAACCAATAGATCTGTGTTGGAAGAAGTGCAGCCAGAGTGCTCCTTGGAGGCCAGGATGGCCAAACTTTGTCTCTCATACTTTGGACATACTGTCAGGAGGGACCAGTCACTGGAGAAGGATATCATGTTTGGTAGGGTGGAGGATCCGAGAAAAAGAGGAAGACCCCCAACAGGATGGATTGGCCAAGTGGCAGCCTCGATGGACTCAAGCGTGGCAGCAATAGTGAGGTTGGCCTAGGATCAGACAGTGTTTCCTTCTGTTATACGTAGGGTCGTTACGAGTCAGTACTGACTCGATGGCACTTAACACCAACAAGAACAACACACTCTGGTGACCTCCCTTGTTGGTGTCCCTGCTCTGGACATTTGGGGAACCAGACAGGCTTGAGTTGATTTCCGACTTGGACGCATGACCACTGCCTCAGTCGTGTTGATCTTGTGTGAGAACAAACTGATTCCATGTGGGTCGAGCACCTGATGTTTCCTTCCTTTTTCCTTCCTCCCCCATAAGACTTAGGAATTTTTATTTTTGATTATTCATGTGCTCTCCTAATTAGCAAATATTCGCTTAGTGCTTAATGCTGATGTAATTGTTGTTCACGCATTTGTTTTATGTTCATGAACGACAACGAAGATTCCTCTGGCAGAATTTACCTTCCCTACAATGCCCTCCTGCATCTTTCCACCTTTACGTTTGAACTCACCTGTTGACAGTCACTTGTCACAGGATGGTAGAACAGACAGACTGGTCCTGCTCTCCCTATCAGCTCTTTAGAAACGTTTTGAATCTCCCTTCTCCTACTTTTCAACTGTTGTTGATGTTTGAGGAATTGGAGTGATGCTGATTTTTTTTTTCTTCTTTTTTCTTTTTAATTCTACTTACAAGCATAAACTTCTGGGTTTTGTCTTCTAGTGGTGAAAGTGGGGCGGGGAAAACCGAAAGCACCAAGTTAATCCTCAAGTTTTTATCAGTCGTCAGTCAGCAGTGTTTGGAATTGCCCTTGAAGGAGAAGATATCCTGTGTTGAAGAAGCTATTCTTGAAAGCAGGTATTTGTCATTTTCCTTAACTTCATACTAATGATCTGACTTATGAAAAGATTTCCATTTCGTTGACCTCTTTTTTTTCCCACTCTTGGAATAAAACGTCTTTTACAATAAAATATCCTGAGAGGCACATAGGTAGCGGTGTCAGATGACCTTGGCCACCCCCTCTGGTTGAGGCTGCTCCTAAGTCTCCATCATTGGTCCAGGTTTGAGTTGAAGATCGAGGGAAAACAAGGACTGGTCTGTAGTCTTCCTCCTGCTGGAGTTCCCTTAACCCCCGCATCACAGGGTGTGAAGGGCCTGGGCTAGATCCAGGCAGAGCACCGGAGTTCGTGGAAAAGAGGAGAGTAGATGAACTTTGTGTAAGAGAAACTTTGGCTGCCACCCTTTGTGTATAAGAGGACATATCAACACTCTTTGTTGTTCAAATACAAATTTAATTCTTTTTAAAAAAAGAGGGTTTATCAAGGACCTGAGCAAGCCCAGCCCCCCTTCAGCTATTGGGGAGCCCCCATGAGCAGAAGGGGTGGTAGTGATAACATTCTTCTCGCCTCTCACGTAGTAGAAGGCCAGTGATACCTTCTATGGCAGAGCTTTGAAAGAGGGCTGTGTGTTAAGGTGTAATCTGAAGTTCTATTTCCCTTACGAAATTTTAGAGCTGATAAGCCTGTTACATAGAGATTAGACTAGGGTCTGACAAACTACATACAGTTTGCTGCCTAAATTCTGTAGCCTTTTTTTTTCTGTTTTTTAAATAAAGTTTTATTAGCACACAGCCATGTTCTTTTGCTTGCATAAGGATGGTAACAACTATCAAGCTAGAGAGGCAGAGTTGAGGAGGTGTGGTAAAGGTCACATGACCTGCAGAGCAGAGCTTTGCAACCTGGTCCTTCACAGAGTGAAACGTACCAAGCCCCAATCCAGTCTAACCACATTTTCCAGGTGGACAAGACCCAAAGATGTAATAAATGGCATGACCTAGAGTTGTCCAGTGAGTTGGTGGAACTTCCAGAATAGGGACTTACTTGTTTTTTTGAGTATAAGCTGAGTGGGGACTTTTTCTGGGCCTTTCCTGCCATGTGTGTGTAAACCCAAGCTAATTTGTCCTGGTGTAGGCACTGGACAGCAAGGTTGGTTTGAACCTCAAGGTTAGCAGTTCAAACCTACCAGCCA